CAGATAAAAAACAAGTTTTACAATGTAAAAACCTAAAAAAAAAAAAGAAACACAACTGAAATTAAATTTGGTTTTCCTTTCGATTACCGATTGAGGTTTCTATATAGCCATTGCCTGGTGCCCACTCATCTCGAAAAGTAGTACCCCCAGCCAAAAACGACTTAAAATTTGAGTTTTGCTTTTTTTTTGTTTTTGTTTTTGAGTTCTTAAATTGTTTTTTTTTTGTTTTTGTTTTTTGGTAAGTGATCATAGCAACATTTTTAATCGTTTTATATATCAAACACATTTTTTGCTCTTTTTTGTCTTCTCAAAAAAGAAATTGGTCAGTGTTTCACCACTTACTGTCAGCTCCCAAAAGAACAAGCTCTCCAGCAGAGTGCGTCAATTACAGGGATGAGACAAACCATTTACCACTGACAGGGGTGCTTACCATGATCAGCTTTTATTTATTTATGTAAAACCTATATCCTAAAAGGTGAAAAAAAGTGTTAACTGGCCTTCGGCTCCAATTTGTTAGTGTATCTAAATCTGCTGGTACCTTTAACACTCCCATCCTCCCAGATTGACAATGCTGCTGCCCCCTGTGCTCCTTCATCCAGAATGGGGGTGCTCTAGTACAGGAGGTTTGTTACTGGCCAGATCACCAGGTGAAAACAGAGGGGGGAAAAGCTTAAAAAAAGAAATCTAATATGGCCACCACCTCAAATGAATGACCTGGTATCAACCTCTTGCTGTTCCTGTATAGCAGGGCTAGAGTGTGGGAAGAAAAGCAGCACAAGGAACCAAGCCAATCTGTTCATCTGTCCAGAAGGAGTATGCTGAGAGGAGAACATAGCAGAGTGACAGAGAAATGAGCTTGTCACTTTGCTGCTTCTCTTTTCACTGTCCAGTCACAGGTGGGGGGCTTGTCCGGGATGACCTGTGCTTAGGTGAAGTGGATTGAATGATGCTGGTCATCAGACTGGTGACATCTATTGGTAGAATGCATGTACTGCCAGAGATAGCAAGTGAATGTTTCCATCAAATGAATGACCTGGTATCCACCTCTTGCTGTTCCTGTATAGCAGGGCTAGAGTGTGGGAAGAAAAGCAGCACAAGGAGCCAAGCCAATCTGTTCATCTGTCCAGAAGGAGTATGCTGAGAGGAGGACATAGCAGAGTGACAGAGAAATGAGCTTGTCTCTTTGCTGCTTCTCTTTTCACTGTCCAGTCACAGGTGGGGGCTTGTCCGGGATGACCTGTGCTTAGGTGAAGTGGATTGAATGATGCTGGTCATCAGACTGGTGACATCTATTGGTAGAATGCATGTACTGCCAGAGATAGCAAGTGAATGTTTCCATCAAATGAATGACCTTGTATCCACCTCTTGCTGTTCCTGTATAGCAGGGCTAGAGTGTGGGAAGAAAAGCAGCCCAAGGAGCCAAGCCAATCTGTTCATCTGTCCAGAAGGAGTATGCTGAGAGGAGGACATAGCAGAGTGACAGAGAAATGAGCTTGTCTCTTTGCTGCTTCTCTTTTCACTGTCCAGTCACAGGTGGGGGCTTGTCCGGGATGACCTGTGCTTAGGTGAAGTGGATTGAATGATGCTGGTCATCAGACTGGTGACATCTATTGGTAGAATGCATGTACTGCCAGAGAGAGCAAGTGAATGTTTCCATTAAACCTTTTTGTTTTTATTCTCCTAGTGAGCTATTACTTTTCATCAAATTTTTGGCTGGAGTGGTGCTTTAAGGTTGATGCTTAAGTTTCTCTAGAAAATGGCGTGAGAAATATTAGCCCTCAATAATGAGAATTATCTAGCAGACTCCTTGTTTTATCACCTCTGCGGCACACATCTAGACACACACACACACAATTGTTTGGTCAGTGGGTGTAGAGCCCGAATCCCGACCTCCACCTCAATGACTCACCCTATTGCGATTAAATCACCGCCATTGTTACTGTGTCTACGGTTTGGATGCTAGCCATGAGCGTTGGATATACGATTGGTGGAAATATGATTTAAATAAATTATTTTAAGAATTTGTGCCTGCAAAACAGTTTGCAGAATGTGCTACGTACGACTTCCCTGTCATGGGGAAACCCTGGCTGTTTCATTTCAGACCTGTCACCCGACTTTCAAGAAAAACAGGACACTCTATAGTGCAAAATATGTCCGCATCCCTTTGCTACACCCCCAGTTACAGAGACAGTGTGAAAGAAAATGTGAACTCAATGACTAAAATGCTCATATAATCTTTAAAGCGTTAATATAATTTCAAAAGCAATGTTTAATATTTAGAAATCTAATTATTTTATCAAAATAATACCTGGTGATCCTGCCATGAAAGGTACTTACATCTAAGTAATTTGTTGCACGGTTTTCGGATGACGACAACACTCAACATGAAGTTTTAATGGTGCCTGTTCAATCCTGAGTGGAACCTAAACAGAATTGCCCCCATTTGACCCCATTAATTGAAGTGACTGAAAATGTGTAACATAAGGATTTTAGTAGGTTTTTTTTTCACCCCAACCCCATTAATGACCATTGCAAGAGCCTGTCTGACTCCAGTGATGGTCATTACAAGAACCTCCACAACCCCAGGGATGGCCATTACAAGACCTTTATGATGCCAGGAATGACCATTAGAAAACCTTTATGACACCAGGGATGGCCATTTCAAGAACCTTCACAACTTTGGCCATTAAAAGAACCTCTATGACCCAGTGATGGTCATTACAAGACCAAAGTAATGACCATTAGAAGAACCTCTACGTCCCCAGAGATTGCCATTAAAAAAAGCCTCTATAACCAGAGGAATGGCCATTACAAGAACCTTTGTGACCCCAGTGATGTTCATTACAAGTATCTCCATTACCCCAGTGATGGCTATTACAAGAACCTTTGTAACTCCAGCAATGGTCATTACAAGTATCTCAATGACCACAATGATGGCCATTACAAGAACCTTTGTGACCCCAGTGATGGTCATTACAAGAATCTCTATTATCCCAGTGATGGTCATTACAAGAACCGTTGTGACCCCAGTGATGGTCATTACAAGAATCTCTATGACCCCATTGATAGCTATTACAAGAATCTCTATTACCCTAGTGATGGTCATTACAAGAATCTCTATTACCCCAGTGATGGTCATTACAAGAACCATTGTTACCCCAGTGATGGTCATTACAAGAATCTCTATTACCCCAGTGATGGTCATTGCAAGAACCTCTATAAGCCCAGCAATGGCCATTACAAGTATCTCTATGACCATAGTGATGGCTATTACAAGAACCTCTGTAACTCCAGCGATGGCCATTACAAGTATCTCTATGACCACAGTGATGGCCATTACAAGAACCTTTGTGACCCCAGTGATGGTCATTATAAGAATCTCTATGACCCCAGTGATGGCCATTACAGAACCTTTGTTACCCCAGTGATGGGCATTACAAGAATCTCTATTACCCCAGTGATGGCCATTGCAAGAACCTCTGCAACCCCAGCGATGGCCATTACAAGTATCTCTATGACCATAGTGAGGGCCATTACAAGAACATCTGCTACCCCAGTGATGGGCATTACAAGAATCTCTATTACCCCAGTGATGGCCATTGCAAGAACCTCTGCAACCCCAGCGATGGCCATTACAAGTATCTCTAGGACCACAGTGATGGCCATTACAAGAACCTTTGTGACCCAAGTGATGGTCATTACAAGAATCTCTATTACCCCAGTGATGGCCATTGCATGAACCTCTGTAACCCCAGTGATGGCCATTACAAGTATCTCTAGGACCCCAGTGATGGCCATTACAAGAACCTTTGTTACCCCAGTGATGGCTATTACAAAAATCTCTACAATCTTGGCAATGGCCAATTACAACAATCTCTACAACCCCAGTGATGGCCCATTAAATGATCTGTGGTGGGTGCCAGGGGGTCTGGAAAGAAATTGGCATAGTGGACATGGTTCAACAGCTCCAATACCACAAGACACCACAACACAGAAGAAAACAGGAATCAAATACAAGGACAATGGTTACTCATAATGTAACAGATAATATTGTTTTCCATTGGCCACAATACAAATGGTGGAAGCAGGAAAGAACATAAAAAATGTTTTTAAAAAACCAAAATGCACAAAAAAAAGCTGCAAAATTACCTAAAAATGCTCATGCTCAAGTATGTATGGGGTCCTAGTGTTTTATTCCTTGCTGCGCAGAAGAAAATGTTGCCTTTGTAATACTGCCGGGTGGTAACATAACGTTTCCCTGAGTCATAGATCATCATAACCCAAGAGGTAACGTTGCAGATTTGCCCCTGAAGCTTTGTCTGTACTGGATAAAAGGAGTTAACTCAACACGGGTGTGTTTTTGGACGGGGCCCAGTTCCTGTTGTAGCACAGTTATCAAAGAATTCCTCCCCGTCTTCTCGACACAAAACACAAGGCAAATTAATACCTAATCCAAAGCCCAATGCAACCATCTCTTGCAGGGGGAGAAGTGACAGATTCTTAAAGGAACATCTCAGTGAATATGGAATACTTAAAGAATACATTTTACCTTAGGTGGATGACATTTTGTGTGCTTTGTACTATGGAATTTCATAAATTACTTTTTGTCATCCTTTGTTACATGACATCCGAGTATTTCTGATCTTCTCTGGCCTCTTTTTAGCCCCTTCTTGTCTACACGCACTCCCTCAAAGCCTCCACTGCCCATAAACACTCTAGACTAGCTTCCTAATAGCATCAACAGTGGACCATGTCTGAACAATGTGTTGGCAAGCCACCAGGGGCATGAGTAAGTTTTTTTTTAAGGTCCATGCCATGAACAGTAAGTTGCAGATATAATAATAAATAAATGAATAAGGAATGTGGCACACTTACTTGCCAAATAAGGCTCCTTACAATAATGGGCAATAAGGATTGAAGGGCTTGCTTAAGGACAATGGTGGTCAATGGAAAGGACACATCGATGTTCAGTGGGAAAAATACTTTTTCCATTATTGGTCAGTGGGAATAATGTCCCTTACATTGGAGGTCAGAGGAAAGAATGTCTTTTACGTTGGAGGTCAGTTGGAAGAATGTCCCTTACGTTGGAGGTCAGTTGGAAGAATGTCCCTTACGTTGGAGGTCAGTTGGAAGAATGCCCCTTACATTGGAGGTCAGTGGGAAGAATGTCCCTTACGTTGGAGGTCAGCGGGAAGAAGGTCCCTTACATTAGAGGTCAGAGGGAAGAATGTCCCTTACGTTGGAGGTCAGAGGGAAGAAGGTCCCTTACATTAGAGGTCAGAGGGAAGAATGTCCCTTACATTGGAAGTCAGTTGGAAGAATGTCCCTTATGTTTGTGGTCATTAGGAAGAATATTCCTTACATTGGAAGTCAGAGGGAAGAATGTCCCTTACATTGGAGGTCAGTTGGAAGAATGTCCCTTACATTGGAGGTCAGTGGGAAGAATGTCCCTTACGTTGGAGGTCAGAGGGAAGAAGGTCCCTTACATTAGAGGTCAGAGGGAAGAATGTCCCTTACATTGGAAGTCAGTTGGAAGAATGTCCCTTATGTTTGTGGTCATTAGGAAGAATATTCCTTACATTGGAAGTCAGAGGGAAGAATGTCCCTTACATTGGAGGTCAGTTGGAAGAATGTCCCTTACGTTGGTGGTCAGTGGGAAGAATGTCCCTTACATTAGATGTCAGTGGGAAGAATGTCCCTTACATTAGATGTCAGTGGGAAGAATGTCCCTTACGTTGGAGGTCAGTGGGAAGAATGTCCCTTACGTTGGAGGTCAGTGGGAAGAATGTCCCTTGCATTGGAGGTCAGTTGGAAGAATGTCCCTTACATTGGTGGTCATTAGGAAGAATGTCCCTTACTTCCTCTTCAAGGAACCCCTAGCAAGCTTTGGGGAAACCTCAAGGTTCTACAGAGCCCTGGTTGAGAAAGGCTGAGCTATACATACACTCCAAGTGTTCATTGAATTTTCACCTTGTTTAGTAAATGTAATGGTCTTGTTTCTGCAGAGAACTCTAAAGCAACCGCTCAGCAGGAAAATATCATCACATCTTCCCAGAAAACCATCATATTAAGTCCAATCGCCAATGGCACAGATGCCAAACCACCAGCTCCACCAGCCAAGTCTAAATTTCGTCTGACCATTTCACACCCTTCCCCAGGCCGCACTGCTTTTCAACCCAATGGTCCAGAAAATGGTGATGTGCAGTCAGAGGGTGGAGTGGAACAACCAGCTCTGATGCAAACCCAAAACAATGCTCCTATCACTGTGGAGACCAATGTGACAAAGGAGAGCATGGGTGGTGGTCGTAATCAAGTTCTTCCCACTGTGCTGCCAACAGATGACGTCTCTCTATCACAAACTAATACTATTGAGGTTGAAAGCACACCTTCAAAGCCCAAGGAAGTCAGCATCTTCCATAGGCTGTTCAAACCTGAGAAGAAGGTGCAGTTTGAGGAGCCTGTTCAGACTGAAGATCAAGAAAATCAAGAAGTGGTGATTACAGTAAATCAAAATGATGGATTGCAGAGTGCACCACCCAGTGCCAATCTTCAGATTCAGGTAAGCAGTACTGACTCATTGTGTTTTCTACTTGAAGGATGGGCTGCACTGTCAGTGATGTCACCACTCTCTAGTGAATGGATAGGCTGCACTGTCAGTGATGTCACTGCTCTCTAGTGAATGGATAGGCTGCACTGTCAGTGATGTCACTGCTCTCTAGTGAATGGATAGGCTGCACTGTCAGTGATGTCACTGCTCTCTAGTGAATGGATAGGCTGCACTGTCAGTGATGTCACCACTCTCTAGTGAATGGATAGGCTGCACTGTCAGTGATGTCACCACTCTCTAGTGAATGGATAGGCTGCACTGTCAGTGATGTCACCACTCTCTAGTGAATGGATAGGCTGCACTGTCAGTGATGTCACTGCTCTCTAGTGAATGGATAGGCTGCATTCTCGGTGATGTCACCACTCTCTATTGAATGGATAGGCTGCATTCTCGGTGACGTCACCATTCTCTAGTGAATGGATAGGCTGCATTCTCAGTGATGTCACCGCTCTCTAGTGATTGGATAGGCTGCATTCTCGGTGATGTCACCACTCTCTAGTGAATGGACAGGCTGCACTGTCAGTGATGTCACCGCTCTCTAGTGACTGGATAGACTGTATTTTCGGTGACGTAACCACTTTCTAGTGAATGGATAGGCTGCATTCTTGGTGACGTCACCGCTCTCTAGTGAATGGATAGGCTGCATTCTCAGTGATGTCACCGCTCTCTAGTGAATGGAAGGGCTGCATTCTCAGTGATGTCACCGATCTCTAGTGAATGGATAGGCTGCATTCTCGGTGGTGTCACCGCTCTCTAGTGAATGGATAGGCTGCATTCTCAGGGATGTCATTGCTCTCTAGTGAATGGATAGGCTGCATTCTCAGTGATGTCACCGCTCTCTAGTGAATGGATCGGCCGCATTCTCAGTGGTGTAAACTGTTATATAACATCTTGCACTGGTTTGATGTGTAGATAGACAGTGTTTGTTGTATTAAAGGAATAATAAGACTCTTTTTCTCTAGCGACATATTTCTAGAATCCATGGCCGGCAGTCTTCCCTGTGAGAACTCATTACACTGAGACACAATCACACAGAGCGGGCTGTTGACAGAGGGTTTTGTTTTAATTCTGTGCTCACATCTGAGGCTCAGTGGATTTTCCAGTAGTACGAGTCAGTCACACATCCGGCACAATGCTCCGCACACTGTGAGCAAACACGGGCCACAGCCAAGACGGACACAGAAACTTGATGGTGACATTTAGGAAGTGTTGATGTATGCGGGGAAGACATAAGACGCTCTTCAGATGGAGGAGGCGGAGTGCTCCTTTACTACAGAATTACTTTTGTGTGTGTCAGGGGATAGATAGATAGATATATAGATATGGGAGGGATAGATAGATAGATAGATAGATAGATAGATAGATAGATAGATAGATAGATAGATAGATATGGGAGGGATAGATAGATAGATAGATAGATAGATAGATAGATAGATAGATAGATAGATAGATATGGGAGGGATAGATAGATAGATAGATAGATAGATAGATAGATAGATAGATAGATAGATAGATAGATATGGGAGGGATAGATAGATAGATAGATAGATAGATAGATAGATAGATAGATAGATAGATATGGGAGGGATAGATAGATAGATAGATAGATAGATAGATAGATAGATAGATAGATATGGGAGGGATAGATAGATAGATAGATAGATAGATAGATAGATAGATATGGGAGGGATAGATAGATAGATAGATAGATAGATAGATAGATAGATATGGGAGGGATAGATAGATAGATAGATAGATAGATAGATAGAGATAGATAGATAGATATGGGAGGGATAGATAGATAGATAGATAGATAGATAGATAGATAGATAGATAGATATGGGAGGGATAGATAGATAGATAGATAGATAGATAGATAGATAGATAGATAGATTCCAATACGGAGCCCGGCATAGCAGCAAAAAACCTGACAGGAGTTTGAATCCTTCCCCAAGCCAAAGATATGGGCTTGGGCATAAGTTCTTTTGGGTTTCCCTTCAAAGGTTGCAGAATCAAATTCACTTCAGTCAGTGTTAAGTGAAGTCGCCGTCTTTTTGCTAGCTGAAAGATGCAATCAGGCTTGCAGTGGGTGTGGCTGCTTTGTGACCTAATAGGTTGATACTCATAGAGATGGAAGAGCTCAGGCTGAAGGTCACCACTGTAATGAGGTCCAATTGCAGTTCAGGGAAGAGTCAGGAGGCCGGGCGGTGCAGAATTTCAAGCATTGCTGGTCATCCAGCGCCCGGGACAAAGATGCCAAACTGCACCCGACCCATTCATGATGTGCAGGCTTAGGGGATCCAATGCCCAGCTTGTCACAATCTCTGCCGCTGTCTCTACTCCTATCAGCTTTGTAACAGTAGGAAGGCGCCCCCATCCTTGCAGTAAACCATTGCGCCCCAGGCAGCCGCCCCTTCCCCCCACCCCTTGTCCCGGCTCTGATTTCAAATATTGCAAAGCATCGTCTACATTTAGGTCAAACTGATGGTTTCCCTTTAAAACTGAACTCCAGGCAGATGTAAAAGATACAAATGAATGCAACTCTGTATTCGTCCGTACAATAATAAATGCATTTTAGTACCTGAATGTGACTTGGTATAAGACCCTGTGCAGCAGAGCTGGAGTGAGAGACAATCAGAAACAATCAGAAACATGCTGGTAGGAGGAGAGAGAGATGAGCCTGTCTCTGTGCAGCTTCTCCTTTCACTGTCCAGTCCCAGGCTGAGGGCGAATGATCTGTGCTCAGTGAGCAGATTGATGCTGGCTGGGGACATCTAGTGGCAGAAAAAAAGTACTGCAGGGGAATTCTCTGGATTGAAGGTGAATGTTGCAACAAAAGCTGGTTTAGTTATTTTACCTTTTAATTGGAATGAAGACAATTTGATCTTGTTTTTTTTTTTTTGGCCAGGATTTTGCGTTAAGTGACTGCCCCCAATACATGGGCTCAGCTGTTTTGCTGTTCATAGTAGATCCAACATAGGTGCACATTGTGCATGCAACTTCTCCCATCGCTCTAGTATCATTTTTATAGTAGTCATGTAGGGACTGGATGAGGATATGGGCCCCTATCCTGTTTAATAGGAGATCACATGACCTCGGGGTGTCCTCACACACACACATAGGACAGCGATTGTTATCGCCCATAACACAGTCCACCTCCCAGCTATGTAGTCCCTCCACAACAAAGGGCCCCAGTGATACCAGATCCGCATTAATGACCCTGTTTTACAATCCCTCCCACTATACATCGGCCCGGGCTCATTAACATGCAGAAATGTCACGTATGTATCGCATGTGTCGCCTATTGTGCCGCACATTCCTGACTTCCCTTTGTGCTGAAATGTGGATATTCTGCAGCACAATCCCAGCACGCAATTCATCGGCCAATCAGAATTCACCTCCCGACAAACGTGGCAGGTGCCTAACAAAATCTGTGCGGCGGCATTGCCTTGCGGCTCATTGCATGCGTCTGATTGGCCAGATTTAGTGAATGGCGATTGCTCAGAATTTTTTTATCTGATTGATTTTGTTTTTGGAGTTAAAAATCATCAAATTGGAGGGGAAATAATTGACTTGCTGAAAATATCCCAAACCTGTTCTTTGCTGTCTTTTCCACTCAATCTAAAAACAACAGTAGACAGTGAACATTGAAGGCTATCATACGCAGGGGCGGACTGACCATTTGGGAACTCGGGCACTGCCCGAGGGCCCGGGGCCAGAAGATGAGACCATGAGATGCCCCTGGTAACTTTCATAGGTTTTTTTGTGTGTGGTTTGAGTGTGGGCAAGGACACAGGGGCCCAAGGGCGGACTGACCATTTGGAAACTCGGGCACTGCCCGAGGGCCAGTAGGGGGCCCCATGAGATGCCCCTGGTACCTTTTTCATAGGCTTTTTG